ACGTGCTCGTGCTCGACAGTACTCAATTACACACTCTCTTACTGCAGTTCAATTACTCATTACCTACACATTGTCCCGTCATGTTGTGACCATCTTATATATACCATACTACCCCCAATCTAGTAATCTCCCGACAATTCACGAAGGTTCGAGAAAGAAGTGGCGTGATACTAGTCACGTGACCTCGCTGACGCAACAATAATTTCAAGATGCGCCTTAAGAACCACAACTCAATTTTATCAATTATTTTCCCCATGCTTGTCGATATTGATCAGTGTTCTAATGCACACATGAAAATTGGTATAACATAGCAATCCAAAACTTTTAAATTCGTCCCCATCGAAATTTTACTATTGATCTATATATCAATCTACTAGACAATAATATTGCCTACAAGCTCTAATCCAACAGATTGGGTTGACTGTGCATTTTATATTTATGCATTACTATTTTAGGAAATCTACTGTTAATTGTTTCAACAGACATTTGCTAATAATGTTATGATATGACCTTATTTATTGTTTTAGACCGAAGCAAATGTGCTTATTGATTGAAGAAAACGTCAATGCTTGGTTTAAATTTATTTTTTATTAACGCTTTACATGTTATAGCATGGTACCGAGATTAATGAGGTTGGGTTGGAGAGAGTAACGATTTTAATAGCTCAATATGTTAATCAGTGGCGTATTCTGAATGGTAATATTTAGTTAACGTTAAATTATAATTTATAAAGTTATGTCACAGTATGTGTGTTTTGAATTTAATTTGCTATTTTATAATACTATTAGTAGGATGTTATTTTTTTGGCATACGTATAAGTATATGGTAATTTTACTCATTTTTTTTGTTTTTACATTTAATTAAATGGAGCTACATTAAAAATAATTTAATTCAGTATTTTTATTTGTACCGTTACTAGCTGATAAATTAATACAAGTTATACTGTGTTACTGTATTGTGAGTTTTACTTTTAGTTTTTACTCGAGTTTTAACAGTGTTAATAATGAAATTTATTATAAAAACCAACGGAAGTCTTACTTTCTGACTTAATTTTAAAATCTTATATTGTAATCGTATTACTATTGGTACGATATTTTGAACGTTTTCTTTAAAAAAGTTGATTGTAATTAAATTGAAAAATAACGAAGTAGAACTTAGTTAGAATAGAAGAAAAAACAAAACTGCACATGAATGTTTACGCCAACACAACAGGTTTAACTATATTACTTAGTAATTACTAATTACGATCTATACTGGTAGGGCTGATAAGTATACTCTAAGTCATGTTACTTTATTACTATTAGAGCTAATTAGTTACAACTGTTAACGTTATTACTTAGTATGTACTTATAATGTGTATTTTTATAAAGTAGTAACATAAAAGCTTGTGAAAAATAATATCCACTGGCGCCCAGCATTTGGTACTGCATTTAAAAAATAAATTGGACATGGATTTACTAAAGTAAAGGATAAACCATGCTTGCTAATCTGGTCAATTTTTATTTATATTTTTAGAGGACATAACTTATTATATAATATTTCAAACTTAAGAATAATAGCATATTCTTGTTCATATTATATCAAATTAAGAAAGTTTGGATGCAATGTTTATCATACTATGACTCAGTTATCTTTAATATTATTTAACTTATTATGCTCCAATTTTCTCTTTTTTTCTTTCTTCTTTTTATCCCAAACTCCTTGTTTTCCCAAGGTATCCTATCAATTTGTTTATTCACAAGTTTCCTCAGCATTATGGAGAGGAAGTTTGGCATGAACTAATGATATGTGACAACTAGAAATTTCTTGAGTTTCTAGACTTGACAGAAAAAATAAACAAAAGGCCTACCAAAAATTATCTTTACAATTGTGAGCTATAAGTTGGCTCATTGGATAGGAAAATGGCTGAATAGAAAAAAGCAGAGGATTGTAATGATGTAGATGAAGAAATGGACAATAAATTACTTGCATTTACTGTTATTGTTAATGTTGTAGGTGTTGCTGTCTGAGTGGAGGAGGATGCTGCTTTACAAAGTATTTGAATTATTTTGTGAGTGGAGCAAATAAATGGCAGATTTCTTTCAATTATAATAAGTTGCAAGGTTATACATGAGTTATCATAATTTTAATCATAAGTAGCATAACATTTTTGGTCCATCTGGGCTGTCCTATCCACTAAATAAAACTAAAACCTTATCATTAAGATAATTATTAAGCTTTCCTTTAAACTCCCTTAAATTAACTACATCCACCCCTCTGAAGGCCAACCGCTCTGTTACTGTTAGAAAAATAAAGCTGTGTCAGGTAAAGATGACTCTTATCCTGCCAAAATTTATATTTGTGTTCCCTAGTTTTACCATTTTCACAATGCATTACCTTGCACCCAAATGCATTACCTTTAACTTAATGTAATTAAAGAGCGTTTTCCAACTATTTTCTAACTTTTCAATTAATCCAAATCAATCTAAAGAACCTCAACAACACCAATACATTTTGAAATACCCTGGAAATCAATGTCATTAGCAGCTTTGCTGATTTGTTGCATGTAATTACTCCTCTCCAATGTTGTTAATATTCATAAGAAAAAGAAAAGACTCAAGAACTGATTCCTGAGCCAAACCACTAGAAACTGTTTGATTGGACTCCATTAATAACACCATGTTGATTTCTTTCACTCAGCCAGCCACTTTTAATTTCATCTAACCAGTCATTCTCCATCTCATATTAATGTGTTTTTTTATCTCCTTTTTCATTTTATCAAGGGTCTTTTGTAAACCTAAGTGCACAAACCCTTTTTATCATTCATATGACTAATTACAAGTAACATCCTCAGAAAAGCAAATTTAAGAAGCAAAATTAGTAAAATCAAATTCCCCCTCAGTGAATTCATTTTAAAATAAATATTTAATTAATTGATTTTGCAAATCTTTTATGAGAATGTTTCTCCACAACTCAATATATATAATGAATTTCTGAAGTTTAAGGATAGAAGTGACACATGGTCCTGTTGGGAATTCTCTTTTGCATGATTGATTTCCTTACCAAGATCCAAATCTGTTAAAAAAGGCCTAAGCCATGGCCCACTTAACAACCTGAGTTTCACAATGCCATTTAAGAATGGGAACCTGCTGAAGTGTGAGTAATTGAATTATTCTTGTTGAGGGTGTCATTGGGAGCTGTAGTTAAACACTGGAAGACTGATGTTGTTGGAACTGTTTAAGTGGTGATGAAATGTCTGCAGGCACCGAAGCACCATCATTGACCTAAGCGATGATTAATGCTATTTGCAGTGGTCTTTTAGTCGATGCTATATCTGTTTTGGACAGACAGAGTGGAATATTCCCATTGTGTTGATGATCTCTCCCTAGACTTTTAATTTCAGGATGATCTTCTTGGGTTTCATTACGTAGTGATACATTTCAAGAGAAAAACAGTTTAGATATTGATGGTGTTATTTTATGATTCATCCTCTAATGGGGCATTTTATAATTTTCCAGTGATGTCAATTAGGCTCCATTAGTTCTGACTTGATGCATATTGACTCTGTTATTGAGATTGACTTCTGTAGTTGGACTGCATGAAACCTTGACTTCACTGGATCTTCTGGCATTACAGCCTTTGTTGGAAACTCGGGAAGTGCATGTTTCATGTTGACTGTGGTTGGGTTTCCTCTCAAACTCCATAGCTAATACGTTCCAAATTCTTGCTAGAGCCCAGTTGTTGAATGCCTCATTCAACAATTTGCTTTCACGCACTGGCTCAATCTCAGACAAACTGAACACTAGGTAAGTACCATGAGTATTTGAGACTACAGAATAGGTGGCAGAGTCTCCAAGTTGTTAAAAAGGAAGCTCTTGGAATATTTTTCTACTTCCATGGCAGTGACAGCAAAAGTAGTCAACAAAAATAAATGAGGAAAACACAAATAACTAGCTGACTGGAAAAGACAGCATACACTATTACGGACTTGATATCACCATGTATTCTTATCTCTTCAACAAAAGTCCAAAACCTGCCAAATATTTGTGTCAAAATTGAAAACATTATCTTACTACCAATATTGGGTACAACATATATGCAAGTAATGTTCTAAAGGTAAGAAATCACAGTTTATTTCATATTTCAAAGCTTTAATTTCCAGGTGAAATTATTTATTTTTATTCATTTGCTGTTTGACAGTTGTGTTCTGTTATTGATTCATTCATGAATGAGTATGTAACATCTGTACATGTTTGTAACACCACATAATTATATATTTATACATGTATATTGCCATATACAAGTTTATCCGTGTTAAATACTGTTGCATGTACAAGTAGCATTAGACTGCTTCATATGTCACTACCATAGCAATCACCGTAGGTTACTACCTCTAACTAGCTATGTCTTGATAGCTTGTGCTATTGTAACATACTGTCATCTGTGAGTCTCTAAACTCAATATGTTCTCTCGACATTACCAAATAAATCACTGGCAGAATTCAACCAAACTAAGATATTTTGTCCAAAATTTGTTTTAGCCAGAATTAGTATTTATGCTGTCACTACATTACGTGTAAATATACACTTAGACAAAAATGGGCTAAATACAGTAATCCACATTTAATGTTCTAGATGGCTGCCAACACAATTATTCAAACCAAGAAAAATACTGTTACAAC